GCCCCCCCCGGGGCAGGCAGAGCCGGGGCAGCGGCGAAGCGCCGGGTGCCACGTCGTGCCATCCTCCCCTTCCCGGCCCGGCCGGGGCACCGAGGCCGCATCCCTGCCCGCATCCCTGCATCCATCCCCGGCTCCGCGTTTTCGGTGGCGGCGGCGGGGTCCCCTTTGACGGATGCTTCTCGTCTCCCCGGACCGCTGGTGCTAAATGCTGAGCGCCGACAGGATGGAGGAGTTTCAGAGCGAGGAAGAGGAGCCCTGGTACGACCAGCAAGACCTGGAGCAGGGTAAGGATGGGGGCACCCCGCAAGCTGCCATGGATGGCGGGCCAGGGGGATGTGGGGGGCAGAAAAAGGGGGCAAATCCTGGGTGCAGGAGGGTGGGATACCTTCTACCACGACGCACGTTTGCTTGGCAAAGCCAGCACCTCATCCTGCGGCAGCACCTCTGTGGAAATCTTGGCTCCGCTGCTCCAAACCAGTGTCCTGGCTGTGGAAAGTTTAAAACCGATGGATAGAGGCAGGGAGCCCAAATCTGTCCTGAGCACCAGGAGGGTAAAAAAATTCAGTGTTACATCCACAGGGAACTGGGTTCCCCAAAAAACTTGCTGCGGGCAGGATCAAATATGAGCAGTTATGACATTGCTTTCATCTCAGAGCAGTTGCAGGTAGAGTTAGCAGGCACACTAGTTAGAAGGAAATTAATACATCAGAAATAATGAGTTGCTAAGCTGAGGATGCTGAAAGCGTCTCTCAAAAGCTTTTGCTGTCCAAACCCAAATCCAAAGGGATCTTCAGCTTGTAAGTCACCTAATTACTTCTGGAGATTTTTCCAATCAGTCATAAAAGCAGGAGAAATTGGGAAGGAGAAAAAAAAAAAATCAAGGCCAAGTTTCAAACAGCAAAAATAGTCTTCTTAGAGGATAAACGTTCACTTGTGTAGTTTGTTTTGAAGTAACTGTACCTATGTTTGCACTAGTTCTATGTAATATTTATCCCAAGGCTGGACAGTGGCTGTGGGTATTTGGGGCTTTTCTTTTTTAATTTTTTATTTTGCTTATCTTATTATTTTGAGTCAACACGCAGTAAGTAAATAACTGGAAGAAGTCCTGTTTCAGGCCAGTGGCCCAGGAATGAACTGAACTGATTTGTCAATGTGCAGGGAAAATCATCCCTACCTAAATACAGTACCCCTCTGATACATTGCACTATAGGTATGGTATAGCTATACATTTGCTTTAGCCAGCTGACTGTCAGCAGGGACGTGCGGTCCAGCTGCAGTGCCTCTGCCCACCGTTGCTCCAGTACATTATGTCATGATTTAAAGTTTACACAACTTCAGCTGCAGGGCAGAGGCCCAGCAAGGAATGATAACCGGCCCCCCAGGGATTGTTGCAGCTGTTTTTTAACCCCAATTTCTCAGTTAACAGGAAGTATCAATAGCAGGATGCCGGGTCCCATTCTTTGAAATACAAGGCTCAAATTAAGCCAGGGCAGAGCATGGAGATGGAGCTATCAGCTGAATAAACAGTGCAGCCTTTGAATGCTCAGAAATTCACATTTCTGGGTGACGTCTTCCCATGGCTCACAAGGGGCCTGGGCGCTGGTCCAGGGGCAGGATGCAGGCTGAGGAAGAGCAGAACTACAGATGAATATAGGGAGTGTCGAACAACACCGGATCGACAGATTTTTACCCTAACGCTGTCCCTGGTGTCAGGTTCATGAGTCAGCACTGGCACTGTACAACTGGCTCACAACAATAAAAAACACCTTTCTGATTCAGGCCAGGTTCCCAGCTCTGTCCCAGCAGTGCAAATGCAGAATAACTGCCTTCGGATGATTGATGCTGGCTGTAGACTCCACCTTTGAGCACATACACGACTGGAGGAAAACACAGACCCAAAACAAAGCCCAGCTGTGGGGTTTGCAGCCTCCTGTACGAATGGGGGCTGCACAGGCTCGCACAAACTCAGAAGGAGAAATGGGGAAAGCTTTAACTAAAATCAGCCAACTGGAAAGGTCCTATGGGGTAATTACAACTGTAATTAATTTGCATAGTGCACAAAGCATCATGAAGGACAGTGCTAGACTTTGTCCACATACAGTGCACCTTTGCATTACAGCCATAGCAGTATTCAGAGGTCTTTGGTGACGGCACGTCTGTGAAGCTGTTGGTTTGGAAATGTGGGGTGGAAGTACGGTGGGAGACATCCAGCATAGCACGGTGTCAGGGGCCGGCATTACTAAGAGGATCAGCATGCCAACAGCTCAGGGTCGCGCAGAAACCCACGCCTGGCAGCAGCACCAGGAAGGCGGAAGACAAAAGCATAGGCTTGAAGACTGTTCCTTAGGAGCTAGGGGTGGGAGAAACGAGAAGCAACCCAAGCAAGGAAAAGGTTCTTCTGTGAACCAGTTGGTTGCTGGGCCTTTATCGTCATCTCACAGCATCATCAAATATTTATTACATTTACATCCAAAACTGTTTGCTAAGCAACGGATGGCTTAACTGGGAGCTCCGTAATGATTATGTTAATTAACCATTTTAGTACCACAGAGAAACTTGTACCTCTAGCTCCACTCCGAGCACCTGTTACTTTCTTCCCCATCCTCCACAAAGCTTGGGCTTGCTGAAACAACTTATTTTTTTTCAAGAAAATACACCCCAATCACTCTTCCCCCCCCCCCCCCAAAGTGCCCACAGCAACTGCGTTGACCACTTGCCTTGGAGAGAGCAGATCTGGTCCCCAGCCTCATTCAAATGAAGCTGGTGCCTTCCAGATTCCTTTACCTGTTCCTTAGTGTGCTGTAAGCCTGCGTGGTTCAAGGCGTCATACCGAGACACCTTAGCACACAGAAGCAGAGACACAACTCCCAGCCAGGAGACTTAATGACAAGGAAACAGTAGTGGTGTCCTCTGAGGTGTTTCATTCTTATGATGATCCCTCTGAGAAGGCTTTCTGATTTGAAGAAAATGGTAAAATTAGAGCTCCGATTACTTGGTAGCATGGCTTTGCTTATTGCCAGGCTTTCTAAGCATGAATAGATGTCAGCACTGCTTTGGTTCAACCACAGCCTCACCTTCCATGGGCTGGGGAATCTGTGCCTCTAAGCGTTAAAACCAGAACACGGTGATGGTGAACCTTTTTCCAGCCATTGGGAACTGATGATGTGGCTACAGTTGCATCATACCCTGTGCACAGGGTGTACGTGCAGCCAGATCCCAAGAGAATGAACAAGCTAAAATTAGAGAGTCTGAGCTGGGGATAAGTGGGGACACCTTTGCTGTTCATCAGAAGCATTTGTGTTCAGAACAGCTGTGTGCCAACTCAGTCACATCTGGATCCAAACAGAGCAGAGACCAGAGGCAGCAGCTATCTCTGCCAGCCACTTCCAGCCTTCAGCTCCCCCACAGCAGCTTCCCAAGAAGAGTCCTCCTCGCAGTCACCCCACTGCATTCCCTGATCTTCCCAGCCTCCCTATCCCCCCACCAGCATTCGTGTCTAAGCCAAAGAGCAAAGCGCAGCCCAAGAGGAGGGCTCTCAAAGCCACCTTTGTGGTCCCTGGAGCCTAAATACAATCTAAGCGCTGGGACAATTCCTCCCATGTAAATAAAACGGCCTCATGCTGCTGAGAGTTAGCCAGCAGGACCAGAGGTAGTACAAGAACCAGTAAATCATCTCATTGCCACTGCGAGACCAATAGTCCTCTCCTCCTGGGCAGCCATAGAAACTTTCGGGCCAAACCATCTGCAATGCAGGCTTAGGACTTTACGGCTGTAACCTCTAAAGGTCTCCAGATTTAAGTATCTTATTTTAATTCCTCCTCCTCCTGCCAAGCATCTGATTGCTTGCATGCTAAGAAGGAAAATGACACAAGGTGCTGAGCTTGCACCACTCCCAACTCATCCGTGCAAAGACATAGGGTCACCAGCGCTCAGGTGATTGTCCCCGGGCGTTGGGATGAACCCAGGGCATCAGTGCTAGCACCCGCTGGCACCCCTACGCGCCTGTTTTCTGCATCACCCAGCCTACGTGGGGTGGTCCATAGAGCTGCAATTCACTATTGGCTTGCCCAAAGGATTCACTGCACTGGGGAGCGGGTGGTACCCCAAATTCTGTCCCTCCTGGTACAGTTACCCCAGCAGTCCAGCTCAGGGCACAAGCCAGCCAGCTTGCCCGTCCTCCTGGAGCACAGTGGTTAACTCACTGTCCTTCCTCCCCAGCGGCAAGCCAGAAGGACGGACTTTTGCCTGCAGTAGCTGAGCCACTTACTTATTTAGCAGTGCAGTACAGCAGGTAGCTTATGGAAGTGGAAAGTTTTCAGTGACTAATTGCTGAGCCGCTTGGGAATGACAAGAGGGACTGGAGAAGTCACAGGAGACAAGGAAATAAGATGACAAGTTAGTTTGAGGAAGGGATGAGAGCCTCCAAATTTGAGGAAGAAAAAAAAAAGAATATATAGATAGATAGATGTATTTTCCTAGAATAAAAATTCCTGTTATGTGAAGGCAGCAAGAAAGCAGGGCATAAGAGAGCCCCACACAGCAGCTTCCAGGATCTCCCTCCTGACCTCTCACAGAAATTCCTTCCTACATCTGCT